TGGAATTGAATCGTAACGTTCGTCCACTGTTCCACAAATGGTACCCTTTCTGCTTTCTCGGCTCAAACTCATCGTAAGACGGTGAGCAGGAGGTTCAAAGGTCTCTTCTTAAAGAGAAGAAGATTCCTCTGTTGTAGCCGAACGGTAGTTAGAGCGTTTTCCTTTCGGCGACTTGGTGGAGGAACTGTGGATTGAGACTGCTTCATTTGCGTCTTCTTCAGCCATATCCGCATCTGTCACCGCAAGGGAGGTCGGCGACTCTCCCTCTCGCATCGCTTGTTCCTCGTTGCCTGGGTCACACACTGTCTTGAGTTTTTGCTGCCTCGTTGCCTTTGGAATTGTGTCCACAAAGCGGTGACCTCTGTCACTGTCTTCTGTGGTTGCTCTTCCTTGATTTGCCGACGCTTTCTCAGAGCGGTGACCTCAGTCACTGTCTTTGAAGATTTTTGCCTTTCGTTAGCTGGCCATCATCCTTTTTCGTAGATTTTGGCTAGTGGATTTCGGTTTGTCCGAGATGCTTGCTAAAGAGTCCTTGAACTTAATTGCACAGGCCATCTACAATGATCTTGTTACAGATTTTGTATCACAAGGGCCTCTCAAACAGTACTTACGTCTTAGTGTCTCAGAACCGCATCAAGTCTATTTTGTTTGTCGATTTCCTAGTATGATCCGCACTGAACAACACAATCGAAAGCTGTTCGTGATAGGAGAAGATGAGCTCAGTTGTGTCTTCACTGCGCTTTCAGGCACACAACCAGTCTCGATTGTCCTATTTGGAGTTCAAGGTTTTGCGCAGGAACAAAATTTGCAGCTTTATCATAAAGCGGACAATCTTCGTCAAGTCCTACTTTTCCATGAGTGCTTTTAACTGCCACGTGCATTGATCTCACTGTTGCGGTTTGTGCTTCTTCGAGACGACATCTCTCTCGTGTTCATACGATATGCAAATACAAGAACTTCGAGATCGCTCAAACCAATCAGATGAGAGATGTTACTGAAAACACTTACTTTAATTTATTGTTTTGGAATCTTTGCACAGCGCAGGCGGTTTTGAAGTAATCTCGCCTTGCCTTTGAAATGCTGAAACGTGGTTGTGTGCCAGTGCTATCTTCACTCCTGAAGTTCATGAAGCCATCAAAACTGTACCTGGGGTCTTTCGTTTTAAGTGGTACAGGCATGAAGTTCCCCTTCTCGCTGACCTTTTGGCCACTGATCGATGCTGTATCACCTTTCGAGTCTCCTGCTCAGAGCTTGCAGGTATTGCTACAGGTATATCACGCATTTACCAAGAACTTAAAGCAAAGGTACTTGGTATGCCAAAGCAAGAGCTACAAAGAGTCATCCCTCTTTTTTGGTCTATGAATAGCAGTATTGTGCCTGAATTCTTCAAGTACAGCTCCATTGCTTTCCTCGATGTGCGGTCTTGTACCAAACTTGACAAATGCAAGATCCAAGCAATTCTCATTGCTATGGAGATGCCCTATTATTTTCAGACAAGATCAATACTCGCTGTCTATGCTGCAGGAGTTACTCTTGAGAACTTTCGACAACCAGTTTTTCAGGAGCACATCATCCTTCGTTTTGGGAAAGAAGAAGGATGTTTCCAGTGCGTTTTCTCTCCAAGCAACCTAAAAGATGCTTGGCAAGTCGACATCAGCCAATTGGAAGCACCCTGTGTGAAGCTTACCAAATAGGAGATGATGCACATTGATGGTCCAGGATGGACTTGTCAATCCGGATCTCTCCTCCATCTTGCTCAAATCCTTTGGGGCCTCGCATGTGCGTCCTGCTGTTGTTCATGCAAAACAAAGGACAACAGAAGGTTGTTGCCTTTATCGCGCCTTCGAACATTTTGCCTCACATACCTGGTGTCTTTCGTGATCATCAAGGATGTGATCGCATTCTGCAGTACAAACAGCCAGATGTTTACACTGACACGCAAACTTCAAAAATCTATGTCAAAGAGACGAGAGCTGACCATCATGTCATCACTCATACTAAAGGTCTTAACCAAGGAGCAAGGGTCAGTATCTTTTTTCCTATGCCGTCCAGTGATTTGTCCCGCAAGAGATTTGGTCAAATACAGCTCTTCAATTCCTGTATTAGTCACAAAGATGTCATGTCCAGTGTCCTTGATGAAGTGGCCCCCATTTGTTAATCAATAATGAGCTGACCAGTCAGGAAGCTTCTCAACTATTGAACATTCTTCTCCATGAGAAGAACATCCTCGATCATCACTCAGTCTTCTTTACTTGTCAGATTGAGAGGCCCACATCATTTCTTCAAGAAAGCCAAGCAATTTTTGCTCTTCCGCCTACTGGGTGTATTGTTGTATTGTTCATTGTCATCTCGACAGTGGGCAGGTTCTCACTGTATTTCAGCCCCGTTTTGAGAGAGGTTGTGTCTCTCAGTGTGTCAGCAATGACCTTCAACTTGCTGTTCACCACCATACTGACCTCATCCTCTTACAAGTTGGAATATATGAATTTTTTGATGCAGTACCCAAAGGCCAAATCATTGCTGTGTGGCACATAGCTGCCACTGATGAAGATGCTCGACTGTCATGACCTGCTGCTACAGGAAGGATCTTCCCTACCAGACCTGTGAAGTCTACTCATCCAACGGTAACGTGTGCTGCGGGTACTGTCACCGTCACTCCTCAAAAGCCGACTAACAAAGGTGGATCTCCTGCACGTTCTACTCCTTCTTCAGCGTCAGATCATAACAAAGAAAACGTTAGCCCTGGTGAAGCCACTACTGGTGTTCCTCCTGGCACCTCCCAGCTTGAGCATGGCCATGTCCAAGCTTTCGTTAGCGAAGCTCCTGTGCCGAAGCCCACCACTCGGCTTTCTGATGATAGGTGCAGCAAGTCAAGCCTGCCCTCTTCAATCCTTACTGAAGAAGCCTTTCAAGGTCTTTGCAGCTCTGAGATCTTACCCGCCTCTATTGCTGGAGCTCAGAAGAATATGGGCTCTCGGGCTCGGAGTGAACATACTTCAAACATGCCGAACCCCTCGTCTATTGATGCCGAGATACATACCAAGCTCCTGGAGAAGAGCAATGGCAAAATCTACTTCTCTGATGCTCCCTCCGTACCCTGCGGAGACTCAGGACAGTGCAAAGCATGCAATGGAGCTGGTCTTCTTGCTAACAGGTTGGGAGTTTGCCCGAGAGGGGAAAAAGAAAACGGAATTCTCCACTCTGTGCCGTGCACTCGGTGTTGTGTTTGATTTTTCTTTGTCCTCGGAGCAAAAGTTGATGATCGAGAACACAGAGCAACGAAAGCTGGAACTGAAAGAAATGATACAAGCTGCCTTGGACAGAGGCACGTTGACGCGTCCCGAAGCTTTGGTGCTTAGAGGTAAACTAGGATTTGCAGACAGCTTCGTCCACGGTCGCTTGGGGATCTTAGCGCTAAGTAAATTAATCGAACATGCCTACGGAGCCCAAAAGCAAGAGGCGTTGGTGGTGTCCTTGTTAATGACCGAGGTGAGTGCGTCTCTTGGTTTGGGTTCAATGTTGACTCTGAGACTTGTCTAGAGCTTGGTGCCTCCACCAAAGACACCATCATATATGAACTAGAGTTGTTTGCCGGAGTCCTTCCATTAAAATTTTGGAACAGCAAAATCCCGTGTGGTCTTCAAGTATGGTTCGGAGACAATGAGGCTGTCAGGTTCTCCTTAAGAAAAGGCTCTGCCGAAGGTGAAGTTGCGCAAACCTTGATGCGCATCCATCTAGAGCATGAAGCCTTGAATAGCTCTCAAGCCTGGTTCGCTCGCGTGCCTACTGAAGCTAACATAAGCGACTTCCCTTCCAGAGGCGAAGCACATCCTATGCTCGAACCTGAACTGTCCGAGAGCTTGCCTGCCAAAGACTTGTTCGATAGCATTATGCAGTGTTTGCGTGATCTTGGGGTGCCAGCATTCGAAGGGGGACAGGCCATGCATTTCACCCCGATATCTTGAAAGAGAAAAAAGGAGCGCTGATTTCTTGCTTTGTGAAATCAAACG